TCGTCGTCGTCGTCGTCGTCGTCGTCGTCGTCTCGTCGTCGTCGTCGGTTCAAGAGGGCACTTGGGGCAACTTTGAACGAAACGATCTGCGGAGGGCCGCGAGAAGGCGATCAGTCATGTTCCCAATCAACTTCCCAGACAGCTCTCCTGTAGCATGATGGTGCTTCGAAGCCTCCGGAGACTCGCGGGCCCATGATGAACCATGTCCCAGGAAGGCTTTCTGGGGACATGGTTTGTTGGGGTGTGTTGGGGGGTCTCTTGGGCGTTCCCTGGGGGCACCTTGGGGGCCTCCGGGAACTCTCGGGCCCATGGTGAACCATGTCCCCAGAAGGTTTTCTGGGGACATGATTTCTTGGGGTGTGTTGGGGGGCCTCTTGGGCGTTCCCTGGGAGCCCCTTGGGGGTCTCTTGGGGCTTTCTATGGGCCTCTTGGGCGCCTCACGGGGCTTCGTGGGAGCCTCTTGGTGGCCTCCGGGGGCCTACAGGCGGCCTCTAGGGCCAGAGACCTCGAAATATCAGTTGGCGGTCCCCCTCTGGGCCCTCTCTTGGGGCACAGTTGGGTTGTCTGGAGAGCCTCCTGGGCCGTCTTGGGGCCCTCTTCGGGGCCTCGTGGCCCGTCTTGGAGCGATCTTCAGGGCCTCCGAGCGAGGCTGTGATGGAGCGCTGGGAAGCGGGGAAAGCGAGAACGCCTAAATCCTTTAAAAACCATCGGAAATGTTGTGAATCTTGCCTCCCAGGGCCCTCTTGGGGAGCCTTTTGAGTCCGTCCTGGAGCGTATTGGAGTCCTCGTCGGCCGTCTTGAGGGCAGCTTGGGCGTCTTCGGGGCCTCTTGGGACTGTCTAGGGCCCTCTCGGGACCTCCATTAGCCTGTCGTGGCCTGCTTCAGGGTGGGCCCGGGCCGCCTCGGGACCCCTCTGGGCCTTCTCTTGGCGCGCTCTTGGGGCACACTTGGGTTGTCTGGGGAGCATCCTTGGCCGTCTTGGAGCCCTCGTCGGGGCCTCGTGGGCCTTCTTGGAGCGATTTGAAAGGCCTCCGAGGCCGTGAGGGAGCGCTGGAAAGCGGGAAAAAGCGAGAACGCCAAAATCCAAAACATTTGGAAAACGAGTGAAGCTTGCCTTCCAGGGCCCTCTTGGGGAGCCTCTTGAGTCCGTCCTGGAGCGTGTTGGAGTCCTCGTCGGCTGCCTTGAGGGCAGCTTGGGCGTCTTCGGGGCCTCTTGGGACCGTCTAGGGCCCTCTCGGGACCTCCATTAGCCTGTCGTGGCCTGTTTCGGGGCGGGCTCGGGCCGCCTCGGGAGCTCTGGACCTCCCCCTACAACCCCTGGTGGGCACCCATGGGGGGAACAGGCAGCGGCCCGCCCCCCCCGGGCTTACTCCGAGATAGAGAATCATGTTCCTTGGAAGCTTTCCGGGAGCATGATTTGTTCGGCTCTCTAAGAGGGGGGCCTCTGGGGGCTTACCGAGGGGCGCCTTTTGGCGTTGTCGGCAAGCCTATTGGAAACATGGTTGGGGCGGTGGGCGGAAGCCCAAGGAATCATGCTCCCGGAAAGCTATCTGGGAAATACGATTAACCGAAGTGTCTTGGGGGCCCGCAGGGGGCTTTCTTGGGGGTCCCTCGGGGGCCTATTGGGGCCTGATGAGAGCCTCACTGGGCTTCTTGGGAGCCTCTTGATGGCCTTCGGGGGCATCCTAGGAGCCTCTCAGGCCAGAGACCTCGAAATGTCGCGCTCTTCGGGCCCTCTTGGGTCGCTCTTGGGGTTCTCTTGGTGCGCTCTCGAGGCCCTCTTGACTTATCTGGGGAGCCTCATGGGCCGTCTGTGGGCTTTCTTGGGAGCCTCTTCGGCCGTCTTGGAGCGATCTGAAGGGCCTCTGACGCGGTCCAGGACCGTGGGGAGGCGGAACATGGGAGAGCGCAAGAATGCTTCAAAAACCATTTGGAAATTTATGATTTTCGGCTTCTGGGGCCCTTTGGAGGGGCCTCTGGAAGCGCCCTTGGGGCGTTTTGGCGGCGTCGTCGGCCGTCCTGAAGCCATCTTCGGCGTCTCCAGGGCCTCTCGGGGCCGTCTTTGGGCGTCCTGGGAACCCGGAAAACATGTTCCTGGAGAGGCTTCCGGGAACATGATTTCGAACGAGGCTCTCTGGGGCCTCCCTGAGGCTGTCTTGGGGGCCTCCTGGGCTGGCTTTGGGGCCTCTTGGGCCGCCTTGGGGGGTTCTGTGAGCCCCACGGGCCGACCCTTTTGGGCCGTCTGGGGCCCTCTTGGGTCTCTCCTGGGATGTGTTGCGGCTCCGCGGGGGCGTCTGGGGCACTGCGAAGACGAAGCCAGCGAGTATGCTGAAAATGTACGTTTTACAAGGGAAATGGGCCGAGTTTTGCCTCTTGAAGGCCCTCTTGGGGCATTCTTCGGCCATCTTGAAGCCATCTCGGGCATTCTGGGGCCTTGCTGAGGCTGTCTTATGGGCCTCTTGGGCGTCCTGGGAGTTCCCGGAGAGGCGTTGGGGAACATGATGTCGAACGAGGCCCTCTTGGGCCTCCCTGAGGCCGTCTTGGGGGCCTCCTCCTGGGCCGGCTTCGGGGCCTCTTGGGCCGTCTTGGGGGTTCCGTGAGCCCCACGGGACGGTGTCTTTGGGCCGTCTTGGGCCCTTTTGGGTTTGGACTGTGTTGGGGCTCCTCGGGGGCGTCTGGGGCACTCTGAAGACGAAGCAAGCGAGTGTGCTGAAAATGTACGATTTACGAGGGGAATGGGCCGGGGCGGTTTGTGCCTCTTGAAGGCCCTCTCGGGGCCCTCTTCGGCCATCTTCAAGCCATCTCGGGCCCTCTTGGGCCTCGCTGAGGCTGTCTTGTGGGAATCTTGGGCGTCCTGGGAACCCCCTCAAATCATGTTCCGGGAGAGGCTTCCGGGAACACGATTTCGAACGAGGCCCTCTTGGGCCTCCCTGAGGCCGTCTTGGGGGCCTCCTGGGCTGGCTTTGGGGCTTCTTGGGCCGTCTTGGGGGTTTACGTGAGCCCCACGGGCCGACCCTTTTGGGCCGTCTGGGGCCCTCTTGGGTCTCTCTTGGGCTGTGTTGGGGCTCCGCGGGGGCGTCTGAGGCACTGTGAAGACGAAGCCAGCGAGTATGCTGAAAATGTACGTTTTACGATGGGAATGGGCCGATTTGTGCCTCTTGAAGGCCCTCTTGGGGCCCTCGTCGGCCATCTTCAAGCCATCTCGGGCCCTCTTGGGGCGCTCTTGGGCGTCTTCGGGGCCTCTTGAGGCTTTCTTGACCATCTGTACGGCCCGCGAGGCGTGTCGTGGGCAATTGAGAAGCGGCCCGGGGCAGTCCCGGGTGGTCTGTGACCCCCCGAAGGTTCGGGGGGGCGCCCATGGGGGATGATGGCACCGGTTTTTGCCCCCCCCCCCCCCCCCCCCCCCCCCCCCCCCCGGCCTTCTCCGATTGGTGTATATATATATATATACATATATATATATAATATAAGCACATACATACACACATACACATATATATATATGTCTGTATGTCTGCCTGTCTGTCTGTCTGTCTGTCTGTATGTATGTATGTATGCATATATATATACACAAATGTGTTTATATATATGTATGTGTATCTATATATATAATCGGCATATGCTACTTTCAATTGTATATGTAGGTATACACGCGCACATACATACATACAAACAAACATTTATACACGTTTTTATCCATGTTCGTGGAAACCTCATGAAGCTGAGAGCGAGCGAGCGAGAGAGAGACATAGAGACTGATATGGGGGATAGAGAGAGAGAACTAATTACATGCATGTAGGGAGACAGCGAGAGAGAGAGAGAGAGAGCGCGAGAAATATACATACTGTGTTTACAGATGTGGTTCACATGCAGAGAGAGAGAGAGAGAGAGAGAAAGAGAGAGAGAGAGAGAGAGCGAGAAAGAAAGAGAGAGAGAGAGAGAGATAGAACGAGAGAAACAGAGAGAGCGAGAGGCATGGAGGGAGGGAGGGAGGGAGAGACAGAGAGAGAGAGAGAAAGAAATGAAGACACATATAGAAGGCTAGAGGCGTCCGAAAGGACGAGAGAGAGAGAGTGTGAGAGAGAAAGTATGAGAGAGAGAGAGAGAGAGTGCGAGAGATCATGTGAGAGGAACATGGGGCAGTGCACCTTTTTCGCAACACTGCTGACAACACGTGGGCCACTTTAGTACCAACTTTCGCTATGGTCGCGCTTCTACTTTCACCACTACTACTACTACTACTACTACTACTACTACTACTACTACTACTACTACTACTACTACTACTACTACTAGTACCACTAGTTCTACTACTACTACTACCACCACCACTAATACTACTTCTACTACTGCTGCTACTACTAATATTACTTCATCTACTACTTCTATTACTTCTACTACTACTTCTACTACTACGACTACTACTTTTACTGTGTCTACTATTTCTACTATTTCTATTACTTCTACTAGCACGACGACGACTGCGACGACGACTACGACTACGACGACGTCTACGACTACGACTACGACTACGACTACGACTACGCTTACGACTGCGACTGCGACTGCGACTACGACTACGACTACGACGACTACTACCACTGTCGACTACTACTACTGCTAACACTACTACCATTATCAATACTACTAGTACTAGTACTAGTACTAGAACTAGTACTAGTACTACTACTACTACTACTTCTACTACTACTACTACTACTGCGACTACTGTTATTGTTGCTACTGTTAATCGTAGTCGTAATGGTCGTAGTGATTGTGGAAACTGGCGCGGCACATACGGCGGATCAGTACGTGCCCGAAGAAGCAGTAGTGGTCGTTGTGGTGATGCTAGTAGTAGTTCGTATTTGTGTTTTTGGTATTATCGTAGGGGTAGCCCATTGGTGTTTCCAGTTGCGGATAGTGGGCAGACTAGACGCGGACGAGAGCCTCGCTTGTTTTGTGCACGTGCGTGGCATGCGGCGCGGTTGCGGGCTCCCCAGGACGTGCTGCTGAAGACGCCCGAGATCGACGACGGTTTCCGCTTGTGGAGCGGATGGGTGCTTGCATTGCCCGGGCGCCAGGCAGTCCAGTGCTAACTTTTGGGCGACCACGATGGTGCGAATTTAGTCGCGCCTCTCGCTTCGCGGTCTGGGTGATTTCAGAGCCCGGCGCTAGTTCCTCATCCTGTTCCAAGGGGGGTGGGGGTGGAGGGGGTGGCGTGAAAGCGCGAAGACAATCGCGCTTCGCACTTCGCGGAGCGCGACGCACGAAGATAGTTGCCCTAGTAACAAGTGTTCTGGCCCTTAGGGGCTTTCGGGGGATTTTCTTACCATCTCGGTCTGGTTTCGCATCTTGGACGTCTAGCGCGACAGCTTGTGTTCCCCGGGCACGGTTCCAGATGCATTCGTAGGAGGCCCCATGCAGGTCAAATGATGATTCTACTCGGCCAGCTCGCTCGTTTTGAGAGGAATGCGCTCTTATCCCTTCCGTGGTGCTCACTCAGCGTTGCCAGGCCTAATCTAATCCCACGGCAGCTCAGCTCACCTCACCTTGCCACACCTTGTCCTTTACCTCATCGCACCTTTCTTTACAATTCTTGACACTCGTTGCTGCTCGTAACTTGCAGTCTCTGCCTTTGCACAGCACCTTGTCTTCCCTTCCTCGCCCAACCTCACATTACCTTACATGACCTTACGATACCGTGTCTTATCTGAGCTTCACCTTCACATTCGCCTCCCCTGTGATCTTCACTTCAGCCTTCACGTTCACCTTCACGTTCTTCCACCTTCGCCTTCACGTGCTCCCACCTTCGCCTTCATCTTCACCATCATTTCTGTGCTTACTTCTCCCTCTGTCTCTATTTCTTGCATCGTACCCTCTAACATCCGCGCTACTCCAACAGGCACGTGAATGTCATGGTAGTGCAAATCTGAATGCACTGTTCACCAACAATTGTTGTTGCGACGGTGGTCGAAGATGACAACGCACTTGCTTTTCGCATAGGGTTGATGACCGACGACAACGAATCACGACGTCGACGGCGACGGTTCCGACGGCGACGGATACGCGCTAAATTAGCCGTCGTCGTCGTTCCAGCAGCTTTGTCTATAAGACAGTTGGCTTCCAGCACCCAGCTTTACGAGGGGAAGTGGTTCCAGCAGCCCACGGCGTGGGTTCCAGCACCCAACTTTTACGAGGGAAGGTGGTTCCAGCAGCTCATGCCTAGAAGGCGGGTGGGCGTGCGCGTGCGCGTGCGCGTGCGCGTGCGTGCGCGCGGGTGCGCGCGCGCGTGCACGCATCCTCCTCACCCTCATCATCCTCCTCCCCCTCCTTGTCCTCACCCCCTTTGAAATCTGAAGTACTTTCTGACATTTCACTACCAGCTACGTCCTGCGTCCTGCCTCCTGCCTCCTACACCATCCCTCCTCCGTCTTTTCTTTTTCCTCCATCCCAAATACTTCCTCGTTCACAATCCCTTGGGCTCGGCGGTTCGTAGCACGTGCCGTTGTCTAGACGCTCGTGGCTCCTCCCTCCCCCCTTTTTGCTCTTTGCCGTCATTTGCACTTGGTTTAACGGCTGGTGTACAGACCGCCGTTTCCAGCGTGTTAGACGATGCCATTTTTCCAAGGTCCAACGGACGCATTCGAGCACATTGCCAGCTGCATCTTTGCCAAGGCCTTGTGCTGGCATTTCCTCGGCATTTCGCACAATTCGTTTGCAGAGTTCCTCGGATTCGGTGCCGACAGGGACCGTTTCCAGAGACATGCGTTTGGGTTACACGCGATCACTTTTTCGTTCACGAACCAGGCGCCAATGGGTGTCAAGGGTCGGATTGGGGGGGCCAGGGCGGGGTCGGGTCGACATTGGCGACATGGTGGGGCGTGCCAGCTGTGGGTATTTATCATTGTTGTGTTTGGAAATCAAAGGGGTAGAGAGGCATCAAAATGAGACACGTGGGCGTCGGGCGTCTGGGTGAGTGACATATTGGGGGGGAGGTGCTCCCCAGCACCAAAGCGCGCGCGGGGGATCGTGGGTCGGGGCGGGTGCCGGGGCGCGATGCGGGACTCTGTGCGCGAGCGCGCGGGAGCGCAAGATAGCGAGGGCGCGCCGCTAGTTGACCCAGAGGAGGGAACGGGGTGCTTTGGACCCTCCCCCCCTCCCCCTTCTCAGTCCGTTGTCCCAGACCCCCACTTTCCCGATCCATCGTCCCGGAACGCCCTCCCTTTCCACGGGGTCAGGAGCGCGTTGGCCCCTCCCCCTCTGTGGGGCAGGGGGCTGAGCCTTCCCCCTCCCCTTGGCCCCAAAGAGGGGGAATGCAACCATCCCACGCCCCCCCCCCCCCGTGTTCTGAAACTCCAACCGTGACATCCAAACACCCTCACGCCCTAACCTTCGCCCGACCGCCTCGACCCTAACAACCAAACCCTACCGCCTTAACCATAGCACCCGAACCCTAAAACCCGAACCATCATCACTAACCGCAGCCCCATCCCCCTACCACCCTAACGCCCTACCACCGTAACGCCCTAACACTGCAACCCTTACCCTGGACCCTAACCCGATCGCACTACCTCCTGAACCTTAAGCACGACCCCGAACCTTGACATCCGAGCTCCAACCATAGCACCCTAACCCTAGCTAACCACCCAAAGTCACTCATCCCATAGTGATACAGCCCTTCTCACCACCGTGGCCAGCCCGCCCACTGACCGCGTCCAAATTGCTCCGGGGATTCGATTTGTTTTTGCGATCCGCTTCAAATTCGGGACGCGTTGCGCGTCGGCTGATCGTGATATCGTTTCATCTTGAGCCAATTCTCTTCTCAGAACGGTACGGCGGGGACATATTCTGATCTACCAAACGTATACGGACCCTGGCAACAAATCCCATTCAGTGCACATCTGCTGATGCCAATGCTCAGACTTCCCTGCAAAGCATATGATGCGGTGCTCAACTGTTGATGCCAATACCACCCCCTGCAACAAGTACCATTCGGGGCACGCCAGTTGATCTTCAGATCCATCTGGTGGACATCGGCTGACCTGCACAGCGACCCAACATTCACCATCCCATGCAAAAGCGCAATTCGGTGCACATCTGCTCAACTCCACACCCATTCAACCTTCGCGATCCCTTCAACAGATACCATTTTGTGGACATCGGTTTATCTGCACAGCGCGCTCCAAAGTCTCCCATACTTTCCCGTGCGCTCCCAGCCGCTCCCAGGCGCTTCGATCGCCCCCCGAGCGTTTCCAAACTCGCCGTCGCCAGCAGCAACAGCATCTACATCCGCACCTTTCTAGTCTCACCGTCATTGTCGCCGCAGGATGCGTCAAGGAGCAGGTGACTCAGATGGAGTTGGCGCGGTCGGATTGTTGAGGCGGTTGATCTTATGCGGAGAAATAGAAGCAACACCCAGGTACGCCTCAACATCGCTGCGAGACGGCCCAGATGTGTTCGGAAGGTCAGGGCGGGGTACGACCACGTGGGCGCGCTAAAGGGATAGGTCGATTTTTGGGACACTGGTTGAGGGCGGGGGAGACTGATCCGAGCTACGGATGCAGTTCGGCACGAACGAAATGAATACGGAAAGAATGGGTAATATGCCCAACAACGATTCTTGTTCGTTTTAAACAGGATTTGCTGTCGGTGTCGCCGCGGCCTGTGTACATGTGAGACATAAGGCCGCCTGCCCAACAGCGGCCGCTGCTGGTTTGGGATGCCATTTGTTGTTGTTGTTGTTTTTTTTCCGTACCCATTTGGGCGTCCAAAGAAGTGGCCCTATCATCCTAAACCCCTTTAACGCATACATTTAACCTCAACCTTCGACGCCTCCAACCACCCTAACCACAAAACCCGAACCAGTAGCGCCCCGACCCTAACCTTATCACCTTGGCCGTAACACCTTTGCCGCCTAGTATCCTACCCTAGGGACCCTTGGCGCTGAACCTCTGGCCCCGACGTTCTTGCCGTAGCACCCTGAGCACGAACCCACCCCCACACAACAACCCGAATCTCTACAGCTCAATCCAATTCTCTTACTGTACTTCGCACCTTCACCCTAATCCGACTACCCCCATCGTAGTCATTACCCTAGCGCCCGATGTCTTAAGGGTGACGACCTGAACGTAACCTGTACGCACTAGTTCG